CCTCAGGAAAACAAACCTTACTGAACAATTATAGCAACTGTGTACCTTCCTAAAAATCAGCATTACCCAAAGTAGTAGTTTTATTAAGGATGTTAATTATCAACATTATTTTACAGAGGGAAAAATAGTGCAGCTTGCTGTGAATCTTTCTGACGGCCAAAAGGACTTGGGCACTTCAGTCCCATGTTGAATTTCATGCTTTTCTGTTTGACCTTATCCCTGCAGCCACATTGACGTTGTGCACGTCTGGGCAAGACATAATGCAGCCAGTACAAGCCCTCTGGAAAAGGGCTGTTTACACAGTGGTTTCTTCCAGCACACTTCTAGGGACACGTTCTATTGATTCGAATGCTCTGCAGTAAATATGGTCATGTTATGTATTGAGAATCCATTTGTATCCTGCACATCCTCCACAATGGAAATACATGTATTCAAGGATGCAGCCTGTGGCTCTTGTTTCAAAATGCTCAGTGTGCATGTAATGTACAACCCAAGATTTTAGAGGAAAGGAAAAGATTTTAGCCCAAAGCATGGCCCAAAAAACCCGCCACCCTTTTATATTCATTTCTGATACAGTGGAGTTCTGATGTCTTCTGAGTGCTCCAAAAATCACTGGGCAATGTTTCTATTGAAATTGCAAAGCTGTAGTTTTTTGATGCACCTGGTGTTCCTAACCTAAGGTGACCACATGAAATGTGTTTCTGTGAGCAGTGTGTAGGTTGCAGAGAGTGCATTTTACAGCCAGAATGCCTAGTGATCAGTGTTAAAGATGGTTGGCACCCGAATGTGCAGGACACAGCAAAATGGATTTATTACATAACTATGGATTTGTTTGCAGCTGGGTCCTAGCTAGGCAAAACAGATGCTGTAAAACAGAAAAGGATTAAACTGGCTAGGTTTACATGCCCAGCATTTTGCTAAATATTTTATGCAGCATCATCTGGCACACATTAATTATGCTGTATTATCACTGTGCTAGAAAACAGTGGTTATTTATAAATAAAAAGCTGTTTTTTCCTCCTGCTTTGAACTTGGAGCAGAATGTTAACACTAACAGCAGCAGAGTTAAGTGTAATATTTATCATTAAGTGAAAGCCTCAACAGCTACATGAGTCTCATCTGCTGTCTTTCAAAGGGTCCTCCTCAGCAGTGACATCTGAAGGTCCCCACTAAAGCACACTCTGAGAATCCCCAGTAAATTGGCTGATGGCAGCTTTCACTGTGCACTGAAGAGTACTTTAACTGGAAAGCCAAACACCAAATTAATCACAGCTAAAAATAGCAAGCTGCTCAGTTCTCTTTGTAAAATCAGGAATAATCTAACATTTTTTGTGTGAAGCTGAACTGCATCCAAATTAAAGGCAAGAGCTATATAACCAGTGAAGGGCACTCTCAGGTCAAGCTATTTTAACAGTTTTTCATATTGTAATAGAACTAACTGCAATTAAAACTCGAAAAATAGGACAACTTTTACTACAGAAAAACTGTAGGAAAATATTCTTTAAAGAAAATGAAAGACATGTAAGGTTGGTCTAGAATCTCATCTAGTCTGAAACAACATCATTTCTCTCATATGTGAAGTGCCTGAGTGCATTACCTCCTTGGATTTAGATGCCTTTTCTACACTTAGCTATGTTATCTCTGCATCACATACAGTTCTGTGGCCTCTAAAACCACTAATCTGAACACCTTGTAACCATTAATATATTTGTTCTCACAACACAGGAGAGAAGCATTGTCTGTAATTTTAAGATACATGAACAGAACAAATCATTACTTTAGGATACATGATACATGATACATGAACAGAACAAATCATTACTTTAGGATTCCATAGTAAAATAGAAGCAGCAGTCAAATGTAACACACAACACCCTTTGTCTATCATCTTAATCTGGGTGCTTTTACAACTCTTGCAAGTAAAAATATTTGGATGAATAGGAAAGCTACCTCAAGGAATCTTCTGTCCTCAAGTGCACAACGCAGTGAAGCATGTAAGCAGCAGTCCTAGAAGCTGACTGTAGTTGAACAGAACACAGCCATCTAGAAAACAAGGTAACTTTTTAAAATGCTGACAGATGCAAGACAGCACAGGTGTTACTGGAGAAGCAGTGGTTTTGTTATCCCTTGAACTACTTAGAATAGTAAAATAACATTACAATTTATTAGGACTACCTATTTGTATTTGCCCTAAGAAGTTCTATTGTGCACTGAAGTGAGATAAAAACTATCTAGTCTTTAAGTTTACTAGCATCATATTATACAAACTTACTTACCTAATTTGAAAAATCTGTTACTGTCCACAGCACCACGTGTAGTTCTGGTATGAAAATAATGTTTAATCCACAGCAATAGCTAAATATTTTAAGTACTCACGTAACACACTGTAAACTCTACACAAACACCACCTACACCAAAAAGACACACAAAGAACAGCATTTTGATTAACAAATGTACTCCCAAAATAATTTTTTCTGTTCTTACAACTTATCCCCAAACCACTCCCAGAAAAGGCAGATAGTCATGATTTTTTAAATGTTTTTCAGCCACAAAAGAGCAGAACCAACACAGTAGACCTGTGCAGTCCAGCACTGCTCCATTTCTAGGAAAAACAGGTAAAGAACTTGCTTTGCTGTAGGGATGTCCCAGGAAAAATCTGGTCAACAGAAGAGCATCTGTTTACTGTCCCTAGGTTTAAATGCAGAAAAAAATTGGGAATTAGATATAGTTTAGGAGAACTTTCCTGTGTGTCTTGGATATAAGTGCCAGAGAGTTCCCTGCCTGTTCCAAGACAGAAATGAGGTTCATCTCACTCACTATCAATGTCACACCACAGAGATGGCATTTCTTAAATAAAGTGGGTAATTACTGTTAAAAGATTATCTGCACGTTTGACAATCCTCTTGTTTTGAGTAAACAGAACCTGTAAATAAATAGTCTATTCAAGATGTAATGTAACTACACAACTTATCACAATGCTTCAATACATAATGGAGTACAGATCAGAAAATTCTTTAAAACATTCTGACTTTTTATTATTACAGTATCTAAAAAGTTCTCCTTTACCAGCAAATGATGCAGTGTTTGGCCAAGAACTGCTACTGCTCATTCTTTAAACAAAGATCTAAATATATTTGTTATCTCCTCTTTGTTAGAAACATTTAAGAAATTAATAAATCTATATCCTAAGCTATCTAGGAATACTTCTACTAATACACTAAACAAATTGCCTGAAGTGATTTATATACATTGATGGATCCAGACTCAGATGCTCTAATGGTTTCTTAGAAGACAGAAAGCTTTGCTGGATTACCAGGTTTTGTTTCAAGTAATTTTTATTCTTTGTATAACCATCATCAGTGACCTAGAAATCTGCAGAAGATGCCGATCTACTGCATTCGTGGTAGCAAAAAATAAGATGCAGCACTGAATTTTCTACATAAAAATGGAGCTGGAGGTTATTTATCCAGCCCTTTGTAGCAGGAGGGTCTGCTACTACTCCAGACTTGTTACATGCAGTATCATTCCTGTTATTTGGAAGATCTACTGTTGCACCAGTGTGTAAATAAAACTCATTCTAAGATTTACTAGCTATAAAATTTGAACACTAGCAAAGTACTCAGTTGAGTACAACTGGGTTGCACTGAGACTTAGAAAACGAGCTGGTTGCGCAGGGGTGGCTGAAGGCAGCACAGACACCTCCTGAGAGCCCTGCCCCTCTCAGCAGGGAGCCCAGCAGCAACGAGCTCAGGGGTTTTGCTGAGACTCAGGGTAATTTCTGGCCCTGTCGACAAAGTGCATTTCATGAGTCAAAAACGCCTGGGATAAAAAAAACACGTAACCGCTCTGTTTCTTTCAACGGTCACATTAAATCCTGTAAACATCAAATACCCTTTGGAGTAAAAAAAACAAACACCACCAAACTTCAAAAACTAGACACAATGCAGGGTCAGCACAAAGGGGCCGGATCACCAGTGTCTCGGCTTAAATCCAGCAGGAAAGGCCTCTCATGTAAGCACGTCACCCCAGGGAGCGTTACAGTTGGCTTTTGAGAACAGCAGGGGTGCAAAATCATTTTCAGCCACTTGTTTCCATCTCCTCCATTAGCCCCAGGTATTTTTTTTTCAGAACTAGAAGAGATCTTAGTTAATTTCAAAATCAGATTAATTAGTTTACATTCAATGTAGGGACAATCTGAACAAAAATTACTGTAATTTCTAATGCACAACTAATCTGATTCTCAAGTGGTTAACTGGTTAGTTTTCTAGAGTGTTCTCTGTCAAAGAAGGGAACCAAATTATCTTGGAAAGTATCAGCAACACTAAGGAATATAAAATACCTCAATTTTCTTTAAGAATAACATGTAAAATAGCCAACATGGCCTACAATAATGCTCTATTTTATTTACCTATTCGTAGCTAGATGAGATAGCTTGACATTTTCAGGTGACCTCTGTAAAATGTCTTTCTAGTTTGTGTGAATATAGCTAGTGTTCCATGGATAATCTCTGGGAATACCCATGCACTCATGAAGGGCCACGATGAACTGAACACACGTGCTCCAGGGCATGGTTAAAACACTACTTCTTGCAAGACCATTAGTTTGACAAAGCCTGTTACAGAACAAAAAAAGGCAAAGTGAAATTTGGCATGCCAGCACACTTGAACTCTGTATCTGTGAAATGATTTTTCACACCTTGGAACCCTTTTCAGTACTTTAAAAGGAAAAACCATACACACACAAAATTCTAACAACTGTAACACCATATTTGTCCTTTCCCCACTAGCATATACCTTGTTTTAATGGTTTAAAGCGATTAAATCCCTCAAGATTGTGCATATCCAGACATTACTGATGAAATAAAGACACTGACCACTATTATTCTTAAGTTTTATTCCATAATAAAAAATAGAAGACAAAAGAAAGAGT